CGAATATCAAAGGTATCAAAGCCAAGCCTCTTAGGGTCTAGCTTTAAATCAGGAGAGCAGCAGAAACATGTCCTTGCCTAAGGATGCTTCTCTAAAGAACTGAGACTGACTCAAAGACAACCCACAAAACTTTACTAATGGCTTCAGTCTACATACGCACAGAGGCGACATTTTAACCAAACTAATGAATAGCTCAGGAAAAAGAAGAAATCTTTATCTCACCATCTTTCAGATTAAGAAAGGTGATAGACTAGGGAGATAGGAGACCCGGAGAGTAGTAGGAGAATCTCTCTCTTTTTGGCGTGTGTTTGAGAAAACTTGAGTAACCTGAATCATGGGATTTGTTTTGCCAATTTATTTTATTTTATTTTAATTTTTTAAAATAAAGTTTATTACTTAAAAAGACATACAGCGTAAAACACACAACATAAACAAACACACACAGACCCATTCAAACCCAAATCTATAAACTTTGTTATACATTAACGTCTAAAAAGATATACATGTCATAATCAATAACAAAAACGATGAGACTACACAATCAAATATCTTGCACTAATACATACCAATCCTTTACTTGTCCGTCTTTTATTCTATCCATTCCTTCCTCCCACCTTTCACCTTCTCCAATTTTACCAATTTACGCAAAGGTATTTATTGCCCCCGTGATTCAGAAGGACCAAATGGGAAGTTTTAAAAGAGGAAGACAGCGGAGTTTGCATGCAGGGGAATCCTGTCTATCTGAGGAGAGGGAGAGAGAATGCAAAGATTTTCCAACAAGAACAAAGCTCAAAAATGGCAGAGTTCCCTGCACCATAAGAATCCTTCCATGTTCTTTGTAGATGGGAGGATGACATGAGAACTCCTTAGTTTGGAGGAATGAATAACGGTAGAAATGGTTGAAGCAGACATTTTGAAAAGTACTATTTCACTCCCCAGGGAAGGTGAATGGCCTCCATGTCAGTAGAGCCCCTTGGCTTGGAGTGATGCATTTGCTCCAGGTTTTAGCCTGAATTTTAGAGGACTTCTCCATTTGATTTTTCTGAGGTGACCTCCTTCCTCCTCCTCCTCCAAGGAAGCCAGGTAGCAGTTCTTGTTTCCTCGGTGTTAAAAGAAGGCAGCCACTCTCTTGCTGCCTGTCAAAACACTTCCAGGCCTAGAAACAGACTTTAGGGGCTTCTTTATCCAAGTCTAGAGGTTTTTCTTCTGTACCAGAAGTCGTGTTATGCATACAGAGTGATGATGATGATGATGATGATGATGATGATGATGATGATGATGATGATTTGGACAATGCACATCAGTCATATCCTGTTTATGGTGGCACAAGCAGGGTTGTGTATCTGGGATCATTACCCATAGGTCAGCACACTGAAGTAATAATAATAATAATAATAATAATAATAATAATAATAATATTTATTTATACCCCGCCCCTCTGCAGAGCAATTGGGGCAGCTTACAACATTAAAATTTCCATACAGATATATTAATACAATCTAAACAGAACATAAAAGGTGAACCGAAAAGTACCCATAGTAGTGTGTGAATGTGTCACCCAATGGGTTTCACAGCTGATCTGGGAATTGAACCCTGGTCTCCAGAGTCGTAGTCCAACACTCAAACCACTACACCATGCTGGCTCTCATATATATAGTAGAGAAAGTCATATATCTCATAGAGAAAGTCCATGCCCCTGGAGGCATTCTTTGCTCCATTTGGAAAGTTCAGAGCTCCTGCATGGTGCCATGGTCTCTGACTCTTCCTCTCCTGCCTTGCTAATCACATTATATGCTCTTTAACTTAACACCGCAAAGCTTTTGTCTGATAACACCGTAAAAAAACCAAAAAACCATTATATTGTAAATTAGATTATTCAAACCTCCTGGACACTTAGGTCAGTTCTTGCGGGAGGTCTTTCCTCCTTCGCACCTTTCCTCTCCCGACCCGGACTCCGCTTTACCCTCAAATTGAACCAGATTGCTTTTTAAGACACAACAGTGTCTGCGTGTGTCTATTATCTGTCCCTATATTCTTAGCTATTCTCTCCTTCTTTAACTCCGTGGCCCTTTCCCTCTTCCCCCTTCGCAGATCAGACGCCGTGGGGTTTTGGGTTGCCTCTTTCGCAGGTGCTGGGTTTCATTACCATCTCCTTGTGGGGTAGAATAGACTTTAGGCCTCCAGCAAAGACCCAGCCAGGGCGAACCGAAAAGGTTATCCGGTTACGCTTGTCATGGGGATGCCACTCAAAACATCACATACACATCGGCTCCATGGGTTCCCCTCTCCATCCAGCCCCCCACTGCTTCATTTGGGACCATTTACTATGGACTGTGATGCAAGGACATGTGTGAGGTCCCCAGAGGAGGTGCAATGATAGGAGAGAGGACAAAAGGAGGGCATTGGACCCTCCAAATAAGAAGATTGCCCCCCTCCCTCTGAATGAAATCTTCCTTTAGTCCCCACATTTCCAGCGTTTCAGCAGAGCCAGTGTGGCAAAGAGATTTGGGTGTTGGGCTACCACTCTGGAGACTATGGTTCGATTCTCAGATCGGTCATGAAACTCTTCGGATATAATATAATATACAACAAGAAGAAGAAGTCACATGCTCTCAGCTTCAGGGGAAGGCAATGGCAAATATTTGAGGTTGTTGTTTTATGCCTTCAAGTTGTTTCTGACTTATGGCGACCCTATCATGGAGTTCTCTTGGTGAGTTTCTTCAGAGGGGTTTGCCACTGCCTTTCTACGAAGTTGAGAGAGTGTGACTTGCCCGAGGTCAACCAATGGGTTTCCATGGTTGAGCAGAGATTCGAACCCTGGTCTCCAGAGTCGTAGTCAAATGCTCAAACCACTATGCCACGCTGGCTCTCTCATCTAAACAAATCTTGCCAAGAAAACTCCATGATAAGTTCACCATAAGTCGGAAACAACTTGAAGGCACACAACAACAGCAACAGACCATTTAGAAGTGCAGCTTAAGCATCCCTCCCCAAAAAAGGTGGACAGACAAAGGGACTCAGAGGATGCAGATCCAGCAGATAGCAGTGTTTGGGGTGAACAACCTCCAGGATCTCATTCCTTGCAATGTGCAAAATTGCCTAGAGATCATGCGCTTCAGTCTGCAGCCATAGGCATGAACACAGGTTTGGACAGACATCCTCTTTGGCATTTTTCCCCTCCAGTACCAGGATACATGGAGAAGAAAGTCCATATAGTACCAAAGAGAGGGGAGAGGATGAATGTGTGTGTTTTATGTGTGTGTATGTTAGATAGAGAGAGAGAAAGGTAGGAAGGAAGGAAGGAAGGAGAAAAGTTCCCTTTGGTGGTTTTCCAAGCTGGTTGCATAATGGAGATGTCATCACCTGCCTAATGCACCGCTAAGGATAGAATAAATGGCTTATTGTGTTACACAGCAAAGCCACACAAATGAACTTGGGCTGAACAGGGGCAAAAAAGGAGGAGGAAGAATGGGAGGGATGTTTCCCAGCCCATAGAAGTATACCAAAGGCCCTTTCACACTACACAACTATAGCAGCATTAGGGTTGCCAGTTCAGGATTATCCCCGGTCCCGAAGTTTCCGGAGCAAGACCTGAGACCTTGGGATGGTTCCTAGTGAGGTCATGAAGCTTTATGCATTTAGTACCCCTCTAGTTTGTCATTCGAACAGAGAGAGAACATATTTCCCTGTTTGGAAAATTAAGACAGAAATCTTTGGAGCCTTAATTAAAGGGGTTGTTCCCAGATCAAGATGAAATGATTGTGCTTTCTTGCTTAAGGAGACCAAAATCAGGAACCTTTACTCTAGGAACCTATTTGCTTTTAGCCAGAAGCAGAGCAGAGGGTGAGCCCTGGTGCCACATAGATTGGGAAAGAAGGAAGAAGATAACGAAATAAATGCATAGGCATCCCCCAGAGTCTTTGCAGAGCTCTCTCTCTCTCTCTCTCTCTGTTGTGTGCCTTCAAGTTGTTTCCAACTTATGGCAACTTTAAGCCAAACCTATCCTGGGGTTTTCTTGGCAAGATTGGTTCAGAGGAGGTTT